TGTGCTGATGCGCTAGCTCAGGTCTTTCTTCCTCTTCTTATGAAGCCACCAATTCCACTCCCATGATACCTCATTAATCTATTAATGTATTAACAACGCCAGCGCCCTCGTGATCCACTCACCCCTTAAAGGCCCCACTTTTCCAATACTGCCACATTGGAGATTCAGTTTCCAACACATCAGATTTTGAGGTCTCATTCAAACCACAGAATGAATATTCACAGTCATTCTTTAACACAGTATCTTGACATCACAACGGAATATTAGTGGTTACAGAAGCCCTGTATGTTATCTGTCATTTTTTCTGTGAAATGTGAATATACTGACCTTACAGTCTACTTGAGAGCCCAATTGTATGTGTGGGAGCTGCAATGAAGAGGAAAGTAAGGGGGTTTGCTTAGCTGTGTGGGAGGGTAAACAGTGAAGAAAGTAGACCTTCCTTTCTCCTCTCTGTTTTTTATGGCTTCCAATCTTGCTCTCCATCTCCCTCCCGTCACCCTTGCTAATGGTCCCCTGGGCTTCCGTGGCAGGCCCGGAAACTGGGGCATAAAACTTCTTGGCTGAGGCAAGTGATCTAAACCCCAAAGTGTGGTCTCACGGGACAGAAAGGGACGCAGAGGTAAAAGGGCTGAAGGTCTGTAGGCAGTGAACCTCTCTGCTAAGCACGTGCCTGGTAGCAGACAGCACTGGGGAGGCCCAGAAAGCTCCCTGCAGGTTCCAAATGAACCAGAGAGCTGCACACAGGAGCCATGGAAGGAACTGTCCTTCCAAATGGCCATGGCCCATGAACAGAGCCCAAGGAGACAGAGAAAGGAGACCGGAGAGAGCCAAAGCTCTGTGTGTCCCCTGAGCCTCCAGCGAGCGGAGATACAGCAACAATTAGCGTGATACCTGTCCACCGGCAACTCACAAGAAACCCCCCTGCTATGCACAACGGACAATACAAATGCCAAGCTGTGCAGCGCTGTATTTCAGTTTTCTGCAGCCTAGGCGGACGTGGATCCCAAATTCACAGCGTTCCTGTGTTCACAGGAATGTCCCAAGGCCGGGTCCTCCTTCCCGCCCACGAGGGAGACAGTGTTACTTCAGCTCCTCCCTGCACTCTGCCGTCATCCACTGTCTTTCCTTCCCGCAGGATCAACATCCTCTCTGCTGGCTTTTGCCTCAGCATCTAAACCTGCTGTGCCCTCCCCATCTCGAAACTCCATTTCCCCACTGTGTCCCTGTGGGAAGTCAAAAAAAGTTCCTCTTCAAAGTTTCCTTTCTTGTTTAAGAAAAATTCTTAAGTGTTAGAAATAAGAGTTTGTTTTAAACACTTTCTTCAAAAGCCTTCTTGCCTTTTTGCTAAAAGCCCTATCCTGCGTAGCTGTTAGACATGCTCACAGGCACACAGTACATTCTATGTCCTTGTACTTTAACCAAGACATCTGTGCTGGACGTGCTCACAGGCATGTCCCAGCTCGCAGTCTATGTCCCTTCCTTATTTGGACTTCCCTTTTTTTTTTTTTTTGCTCGCCGTTGCTTTTACCTGTTTAGAAAAGTTTCAAGTTAATGGCCAATCAGGTTTTAGTTTAGATTGTGAGCTCTGGCTCCAGCCAATGAAGACCAGACACAGCAGTAAGAACAACCCCAAACACGTAAGAAATAAATCTGTCTGCTTTCCTTTGTTCATTGTACTCTCCTGGCAAAATTGCTAGTGGGAGTACCCTTTCTGCAGGAAGTAAAAAGAATTGCTTTGCTGAGGGATCCTTTGTCCCAGTACTAATTTTTCTTTGCAACACCAAAAAGAAAAATTTTATACATAACAGTCTCCTTTTAGGGACCAGTCTTCCTTTCCAGAGTCTCATTCCCTACTTCTAGATCAATCCAATCTCCACAGTCTGAGTTGAGACCTCATGCCCTGACACTGATTTCCTAATCACTAAATCCCGCTTTGCAACACTTGACACTTTGACCACACCCTCCTCCCTGAAATCCTCTTTGGCTCCTGTGCCAGAGGCTGCTAGTTACCTGCTCAATATCCAGGCTTTCTTCATCCTTACTGACTAGAACCCCCTCCCTCACCTGCTCCAAGTTCCACATCTACAACATGGGCACACATGACCTGGACATGAGCTGGGTGATCTTCTACTCAGCCCAGATATAATTCAGGAATTATAATTACTTAATTATCACTCCCTTTTTAACCAAAGAATGTTCAAGAATGTCATCTGTCAGCTTCCCCTGCAGCTAGGGGGTGGCCAGATTATAGTCCCAGCCAGTGATATCTGAACAAAAGCTGCTGGATGGAGCTTCAAGGAAAGCCCCTTAAAGAGGGGGCACTCAACATGCAGCACTCAACTGCTGCATGCATGCCCATTTACTCGTGACCCTTCCTCCTTTCTCCTGCCTGGAACATGGCCCTGATGGCTGGGGCTACAGCAGCTATCTTGCAACATGTGGGAAAGGCTAAAATTATAAAGAGCAGATCCTGTTATCCTGCAGCTGCTGAATTAATGCTGGCAACTGCTTGTTTCCACACCATGTTACACAAGAAAAATAAACCTCTGCCTTGTTTAATCTGTTGTTATTTGGGTTTTCTAGGGTATGCGGCTGAAACCCATCTCTAACTGACACAGCTGCCATGACTATGACACTCCTGCCTCCTCCTACTTCTTAAACCTCTTCAGGGCCCTTTTCTTCTATATCCCCTGCATCAGGCATCTCCAAACTACGGCCCGGGCCGAGGTCTGCATGCGGGCCCCTGAGGCCATTTATCCGCCCCTCCCCACCCCCCGCCGCACTTCAGGAAGGGGCACCTCTTTCATTGGTGGTCAGTGAGAGGAGCACAGTATGTGGCGGCCCTCCAACGGTCTGAGGGACAGTGAACTGGCCCGCTGTGTAAAAAGTTTGGGGACGCCTGCCCTACATGTTGGTGTTTTTCTTTTTTTCTTTTTTTTTTTTTTTTTTTTTTTTTGAGACGGAGTTTCGCTCTTGTTACCCAGGCTGGAGTGCAATGGCGCAATCTCGGCTCACCGCAACCTCCGCCTCCTGGGTTCAGGCAATTCTCCTGCCTCAGCCTCCTAAGTAGCTGGGATTACAGGCACACGCCACCACGCTCAGCTAGTTTTTTGTATTTTTAGTAGAGACAGGGTTTCACTATGTTGACCAGGATAGTCTCGATCTCTCGACCTCGTGATCCACCCGCCTCGGCCTCCCAAAGTGCTGGGATTACAGGCTTGAGCCACCGCGCCCGGCCATGTTGGTGTTTTTCCGCGTCTGTTCCTGGTCTTCTTCCCTCACTCTTTCCCAGTGACTCAGTAGTGCCCTGTGGTTCCCAGACCATGATGACTCTAAATCCTCACGTCTATCCCAGCATCAGGCCTATAAGCCTACAGGTCTAAATGCCTAGTGAACAATCTCTACCTGCCCCTTCTACAGGAACCTCATAGACAACATACTCACAATCTTGCCAGCTTGCCTACCAATCTGCTCTTCCTTCTGGCTGCTGGAGCTACAGACCCTCACCTTCCCTGACCCCCATACCCAGCTGGTCCTGAAGTCCCATCAGATCTCTTTGCAAGAGCTCCGGTTTGCTCCCACTTCTTCAATCCCACTGTCCTCTAGAGACCCCCATTATCTCTTGCCTGGGCCACTCACTACTTTAGCCTCCTAACTTCCCCACCTCCCGCCTACCTCCCAAATTGTTGCTGCATTGATCTTTTTAAGACAGAAACCTAATCATGTCATCTCCCTTCTTAGAACCCCTAGAGAGCCCCTCTTCCCCTACAAGAAGGCATTCCAGTGCCCATGTAAGCCCAGTCCTTCATGTCTTGTCAATATCCCTTCCATTACAGCCACATAAAATCACCACAGCAGTTTCCCAAACTTGCCATGATTTTTCTCATTTTCTTTGTGCCATGTAGGCTGAAAACTGAACAAAAATAAGGTTTTAAGTAAGCATTTGAGAGCCAGGTTTGAGCCCTAGTCTTCCTGTGAAGTCACCCACCTTTGTGCACAGAAACTCAGAGGTAAAGATGTTAGAATTCCAGAGATTTTCCATTGTTCACTTAACATAATTGCTTAATTATAATTCCCTTTTCAACCAAAGAATTTTCATCAAGTCACTTTGAACCAAACTGATCAAAATTTTCTTCTACATATTTTCATTTAAAATTTCATCTTCATCCAATGCAAAACATTCCCCCATTCCACGCTAAACAGAAAAGGAGATATTTTACTTTTAATGTTCTAGGTATGAGAGGATCATTCTTTTTCTTTCTTTCTTTTTGAGACAGAGTCTTGCCCTGTCGCCCAAGCTTGAGTGCAGTGGTGCAATCTCAGCTCACTGTGACCTCTGCTTCCCGGGTTCAAGGGATTCTCCTGCCTCAGCCTCCCAAGTAGCTTGGATTACAGGTGCCCGTCAACATACCCGGCTAATTTTTGTATTTTTACTACAGATGGGGTTTCACCATGTTGGCTAGGCTGGTCTTGAACTCCTGACCTCAGGAGATCCACCCACCTCAGCCTTCCAAAGTGTTGGGATTACAGGCATGAGCCACCACACCCCGCCGGATCATTCTTTTTCTTATCTGATTAAAGTTTACCTCCTAGGATCATGGAATTTTAGGGTCCAGCCCCCTCATTTTCCAGAAAAGGAAACCAAGGCTCCATGGGCTCAGGAACACAGCACCATGGAGGTGGTTATTGATGGGATACACCCGGACCCTCACTATGGATTCAGCTCTTTCCATCTCACCATGAAGGCACAGGCCATCCCCAGTCACAAAGAAGCCTCCCTCACTCGCGGTGAGAGGAGAACAAAGTAGCCCCCAAATAGCCAATGAAGCTAATCCTCTTACACCCCTCCTCTTAAGGCAAGTTGACAACGTAAGCGCTTTAGGAAAAAAAAAAAAAAAAATCAAAAGAATTAAGTCCAAGGCTCTGCTTGCCTTGGGAATAGAACAGCCCTCTCCCCTCCTTTCCACCTCTGTGCCCCATACTTGGGGCAGGTCACTCACCCTCTGGGTGATGGGCTTGTCTCCCTTCATCTCCACGGCCAGCCCCAGGTCGGATAACCTGCAGTTGCCGAGGTCGTCCAGAAGCACGTTCTCAGGCTTCATGTCCCGGTAGACGATGCCCAGTTCATGGAGGTGCAGCATCCCACAGGCTATCTGGGCCGAGTAGAAGATCACCCGGCTCATGTCCAGGCCGCGCGTGCCCACGTTGTAGATGTGGAACTTGAGGTCTCCCCCGTTCATCAGGCTCATGACAAGGCAGAGATGCGTCTTGCTCTCAAAGGCATAGGCCAGAGAGACAATGAAAGGGCTGCTGACCTTCTCCAAGATTTGCTTTTCCAAGAGAGCCATCTTCTCGCCACCTTTCTTCTTCAGCCGCTTCTTGTCCAGTTTCTTGCAGGCATACATCTTCCCAGTGTTTTTCACCTGGACGGCACATACCTTAAAGGAGAAAGAAAGGAAGAGGATGAGGTAGAGGTAGATGGTACTGGAGAGAGGTGGAGAGAAGCTGATGGAGGAGGTGGGTGGAAAGAGGGCAGGCTGTGGAGAAAGGAGAAGATGTAAAAAGTGTTCTCAAGAAAAACTGGGGATCACAGTGAGATACTCCTTCATCTCACTGGGTGGCTTCATAAAAAAATACAGGAAAATATCAAGTGTTGGCAAGGATGTGGAGATACTGAAACTTTTGAGCATCACTGGTGGGAATAAAATGTGGAAAGTTTGGTGGCTCCTTAAAAAGTTAAACACAGTATTACCATATGACCTAGCAATTCCACTCCTGGGCATACATCTGAGAGAAATGAAAACAAGTATTCAAACAAATACTTGTGCATGAATAGCGGCACCACACACAATAGCCAAAAGGTGAAAACAACCTAAGTGTCCATCAGCAGATGAATGACTAAATGAAATGTGGTATATCCATACAATGGAATATTATGCAGCCATAAAAAGGAATGGAGTACTGACACATACCACAGTGTGAATGAACCCCCAAAACATTATAATGAATGAAAGAAGCCAGACACGAAAGGTCACATATTGTGTGAAACATCCAGAATAAGCAAATCCCTAGAGACAGAAAGTGGACTAGTGGTTGGCAGGGCTGCAGGGGAGGGGGATGGGCAGGCACTGCTAGTGGGCACAGGGGTGATGAAAGTGTCTTGGATCTAGACGGAGGTGTTTGTTACCCAACATTGTACATGCGCCAAGTGCCACTGCATTGTACATTTTAAAACGGTTAATGGTTTGATTTATATAAAGCAAATTTTATTTGAAATATTTTTTATTACTTAAAAACAGGAAGAGCTGGGCACAGCAGTGGTGCAAAACAGGTTCTCAAGATCAATGTTTCCTTACTTCAAGATCAGTGTTTTCTTTTTCTTTTTTTTTTTTTTTTTTTTTTGTCACCCAGGCTGGAGTGCAGTGGCACGATCTCTGCTCACTCCAACCTCCATCTCCCGGGCTCAAGTGATTCTCCTGCCTCAGCTGAGATTACAGGCGTGCGCCACCACACTTGGCTAGAGTGTTTTCTTAAATATCCGTTTTTCTCAAATTACCTTCATTACCACAATTTAGGGGGAAAGGAGACCTTTCATCACATGTGGCTGTCATTCTCCAAAGTGTTTGGACATCTCAGCACGTTCCTGATGGCGACCCATGACAGAGAGTCTTGGCCAAGTCTATGTTTTGCTCATCTCTCTCATGCTATTTGTATTTTATTTCACACCCATGGCTACAAGGAAGGGAGCTGGGGAGACGGGGCTAGGAATCCTCCACCTGTGATCCTGAAATTAGTTCTAAATAAGTTCCTGAGATTAAAAAAAAAAAAAAAAGAAAGAAAGAAAGAAAAGCAGCATCACCCCCTTTCATGCTCTATGCTTCACCTTCTAGCCTGGCTACTGGGAGACACTTACCTCCCCAAAACCACCTTTCCCCAGCACTCTGAACTCAGTGAAGTACTTGTCTGACACCGGTTGCATCTCAAAGAGTTTCCACTGCAGAAACTTGTCATAGAAGGGGCTGGCCAGGAAATCCTTAAAGGGCTGCTCTTGCAAGAAGGCCATGGCCTCTGCCTTGGCCAGCGTCACTGCAGCCACTCGCTCTTCCTCGGTGGTGGCTGCTTGGCACTTGGTGGCCACGGCCTGGCTGAGGAAGGGGTGTGGGTTCCCCGGGGCAGGGGCACTCGCACAAGCGGCCACCAGCCCCTGCAGCGCGCTGTCCTTGGTGGGCCCCTCCTCGGCCAGCTCCCAGTTCTGCACGTCCTCCAGGAAGGTCGCCACCTCGTGGAATGTGGGCACCGTGGCTAGGAAGTCACGGAAGAAGCGGCGGCCGATGGGCTGCTGCTCGCACAGGCTGTGGAAGTTCGGGGACAGCGTCTGGCGGAGCTCCGCACAGCCCTGCAGCCCGGGCAGGGCCAGGCTGCGCCGCCGCCGCTGCAGCTCCTTACTGTCGCAGTCCGACGGCTTCCGGGCCTGCAGGTAGGCCGTGTTGGCGATCAGGTTGTCCAGGGCCCCCATGTCCACCATGGCTGAGCACGGGGTGCGCTCCCACGGAAAGCACCGGAGGGCTGGAGGGCTGCTGGCTGTGTCCCCTTCTCGGGTGAGACAATGTCCAGGGATTTACAGCGAGTCCTCTGGCCTGCGGGAGGGACCCGTGGAGGGCGCGAAAGAGGTTTCACTTGTAAGAAGCTTTGGCTATGTATAGCCCGCCAGGAACCGCACACGACAGGTCATGCTCCCACCTGCCAAGGTGAAAGCCGCTGGGACACCTGCCAGGGCCAACACCCCCTTGGGGTTGGCTTGACCCTTGGTTTTAGGGTCTTTCTCCACATAGCCCTGGACCCTGAATATCCAGCTAGAACTATCTTCCAAGGGAGTGATCGCACGGTTGTCATCTAATTTGTTGCCGATGCAGTATTTTAATCTGTTTCTAATTTTACTTGTTTCCTACTAGGCTCAAGCTATGGAAACTCCTAGGAATAGCAGGTCAGGCAGGGGAACTGTGAGAAGTCAGAGCAGTTTCCTCCCAGGGTCTAGCAGCCTGACACGAAGAGCAGGTTACAGAGGGGATGCTCTGAGTTTTAAGTCCGGAAACGTGTTCCCAGAAGCCCGAGGGTCTCCAGTTTTGGCCAAGGCAGATGCACCCCAAATAGCCTGCAGAAATCCTCCAGCTTTCTTAGCTCTGAGGCATCTGTGACCTGGAGTCTGTGATCTGGGTTAAAAGAGGAGGCCATCTCCACCAAAAACGTACCATGAAGTGAATAAGCAGAAAAAGCCATATTCCTGAAATAGACAGATGAAGGGAGTTGGCCTGGCGTGTCTGGGCTCTGAATGAGACAAGAATTTTCCATGATCCCAAAGACAGAAAGCACGCCACTCACGGCATGAAGTCGCGACTGTTCCAAGGGCACAATCTAACGAGCAGACTCTGAATGCCCAGGACCCTTTGCGTGGCGACCAAGCAGCGAAGTGTCGGATGTGGACCCCAGACATCGTTGCCCATGCTCCCCACCAAGTGAGGAAGCCTCCCTCCTCAGAGGACGCTCGGAGCTGTCACAGACCATGGCCTCATCAAGACAGAAATTGATCTAGACAGAGATCAGGCTAAGAACCTCTGCTCCAAAAATAACAACTTGTGTCCCACAGGGAAAGGATACTCAGTCTTTTTCTTCACAAAGCAAGCCTAAGGCAGCTTAAAAACAAAGTCATTCAGTATTATGCTAGAGAGTTTACAAGGGAAAAAAAGACAGAGGGGAAAGGAGCGGGGAAGAAAAGCTGGTCAGTCTTTTTCCAAACAAACAACCTCTAGCATACACTTTGTGAAAACATAGTCATGACCGCCTTGGTCTGCCTGTCAGAGCCTCTGACTGTTTCCCCAGTGCAGATACACACTTGGCCTCATGCTACCAGGAATTATGTAATGAACTCGTGGGTGCCCTTTGGCTTTGCACTGCTGCGCTGGAAACGATCGCTTCTGCCGCGGAGATGGCCGATCTGCACTGGTGCCCGCTGCTCTGAACCATGCCATCCGCTTTGAAACCCACATGGGAAATGTTGGTACTTTCCCGTTCTTTATATGTTACCCCGGTCCACATCAGTAACACGTAAAGAACGGGAAAGTACCTGTAGTGAAAAATCAGTCTGAGAATTTCTTCAGAGGAGCAAATGCCTTTTCCCGTGGCTCTTAGGAATGTAGTGGCAGCCTTAGCAGGGTGGAACCTTGAGAAAATGGTAGCATTGATATCACAGAGATATTTAAGCTTACCACTTGGGGAAAAAATGCTTTTGCTGGTGAACATGTATGCTATGAACTGCTTGATTCCACTCACGCTAATACTTTCTTTTATCCATAAGTAATCACTTAACTCAGTACTGTCCAATAGAAAATATGAAGTCACATATGTAATTAAAATTTTTCTAACAACTACATTAAAATGATAAAAGAAACAGGCGAAATTAACTTTATAGTTATATTTTAGTTAGCTCAGTATATCCAAAATATTGTCATTTCAACATGTAATTGATGTAAAAGTTGCCAATGGGATATTTTACATTCTGTTTTGTATGTGTGTCCTGAGTTCTCAGAATCTGGTTTGTACATTATACTTACAACATATTTGAATTTAAACCAGCCAAATTTCAAATGCTAAGTAGCCACATGTGGCTACTTATCAGAGAGCACAGACTTAAAACCTTTATGTAACTTTGTCATTCTTAAAAAGAGGGAGTTTTTTTTTTATCATCTCTTTTCTAATCAGCAATACTATATATCTGAATAAATAACTCATTTTCTTTTCTTTTTTTGAGACAGGGTCTCACTGTTGCCAGGCTACAGTGCACTGGTGTGATCTTAGCTCACTGCAACCTCTGCCTCCTGGGCTGAAGCGAATCTCCCAAGTAGCTGGAGCTACAGGCGTCCGCCACTAGGCCCAGCTAATCTTCATATTTTTAGTAGAGACGGGATTTCACCATGTTGCCCAAGCTGACTTTGAACTCCCAACCTCAAGTGATTTGCCCTCCTTGACCTCCCAAATTGCTAGGATTACAGGTGTGAGCCACTATGCCCCACTCATTTTCTTATTAATTAAAAATAATCTGGCTGGGTGTGGTGGCTCATGTCTGTAATCCAAGCACTTTGGGAGGCCAAGGTGGGTGGATCATTTGAAGCCAGGAGTTTGAGATCAGCCTGGCTAACATGGCAAAACCCTGTCTCTGCTAAAAATACAAAAATTAGCCAGACACGGTGGCAGGCTCCTGTAGTCCCAGCTGCGTGGGAGGCTGAGGCAGGAGAATCGCCTGAACTCGGGAGGTGAAGGCTGCAGTGAGCCGAGATTGCACCACTGCCCTCCAGCATGGGTGACAGAGTGACTCTGTCTCAAATAATAATAATAATAATAATAAGCTGAATGATAACAAGTTTAAATAACATTTGACACAAAATATAGAAGTTATAAAATGATAATATGGTAGTTACCATTATTTTTAAACTTTTCCTCACCTGATAATATAGAAGGGCTATTTAAAATGAAACATTTTCTTTTTCTTTTTCGAGACAGGGTCTCACTCTGTTGCCGAGGCTGGTGTGCAGTGGCTCAATCTCAGCTCACTGCAGCCTTGACCTCCTGGGCTCAAGGGATCCTCCCACCTCAGCCTCCTGATTTGCTGAGACTACAGGCATGTACCACCATACCTGGCTAATTTTTGTATTTTTAGTGGAGACAGGGTTTCACCATGTAGCGCAGGCTGATCTCGATCTCCTGGCCTCAAGCAATCCTCCTCGGCCTCTGAAAGTGCTGAGATTACAGGCGTGAGCTTCCACGCCCGGCTGGAACATTTTCTGTGATTGCTAATAGGATCCAGAGCTTTTCCCAACTTAACAAAACAGTAATTATAGGTTCAATTAAAGAACAGCCTTGAATCCTTACATTAGAAGCAGAGCACACACTTTGTTAAAAGTGCTGGGTACAGTCACCATCCCTTGCACCATGGGGAAAAGTACCAGAAATCTGTGGTTGGAGATGTGGCCCAACAGTTAGGAGCACTAAGTCCAGCACTGCTTGGGAAATCTGAAGCCTGGCTTTAGCAAGCCCTAGCTGTGTGACTTTCAGCAAGTCACTTAACTTCTCTGAGCCTTAGTCTCATCAGTTACAAAACAGGTAATAAATGCTGATTCTTGGGTAAGCTTTATGAGAGAATTAAATGCCAAATGCCTGGCACAAAGAAGTGATCAAAAAGTATTAGCTTTTAAATCATGACCATCAATCATCAAAATTTAGTCCCAAATTATGCTTTTCTAATATGCAGACTGGAGGGAAGAAAGACGTAAGCAATGTAGAAGATGGGTTCCTGTGTCCCACGCACACCTAGTACAGAGCAGCCAACTCAGAATTTGCACATGACCTTGGAAAGCTGTGGTGCCCCATGCAGCCAGAAGACAGGGAGGCCAGATTCATTAGATATCATGCAAGAGTTCTAACAACATGCTATTGTAATTCAACAATTTACCATATTCCACCAGAAAAAGACGACTAACCTGTCATATGAAAAGAGGAGATATGCCAGGAGCGGTGGCTCACACCTGTAATCCCAGCACTTTGGGAGGCTGAGGCAGGCAGATCATGAGGTCAGGAGTTCGAGACCAGCCTGATCAACATAGTGAAACCTGGTCTCTACTAAAATGCGAAAATTAGCCAGGCATGGTGGTGCACACCTGTAATCCTCAAAGAGAGAGAGAAAAAAAGAGATATTTCTTTATTTTTATTTTATTTTTTCAACTGTTTTTTTTTTTTTTGAGACAGAGTCTTTCTCTGTCAGCCAGACTGGAGTGCCATGGTACAGTCTTAGCTCACTGCAACCTCTGCCTCCCAGGTTCAAGCAATTCTCATGCCTCAGCCTCCCAAGTAGCTGGGGTTACAGGCATATACCAATACCACCCGCTAATTTTTTTTTTTTTTTTTTTTTTTTGAGACGGAGTTTCACTCTTGTTACCCAGGCTGGAGTGCAATGGCGCAATCTCGGCTCACCGCAACCTCCGTCTTCTGGGCTCAGGCAATTCTCCTGCCTCAGCCTCCTGAGTAGCTGGGATTACAGGCACGAGCCACCACGCCCAGCTAGTTTTTTGTATTTTTAGTAGAAACGGGGTTTCACCATGTTGACCAGGATGGTCTCGATCTCTCGACCTCGTGATCCACCCGCCTCAGCCTCCCAAAGTGCTGGGATTACAGGCTTGAGCCACCGCGCCCGGCTAATTTTTGTATTTTTTAGTAGAGACAGGGTTTCACCTTTCAGCCAGCAGGTCTTAAACTCCTAACCTCAAATGATCTGCCCATATCAGCCTCCCAAAGTGCTGGGATTACAAGCATGAGCCACTGTACCTGGCTTCAATTTTATTTAAGATAAAGAGATATTCATTTTGAATGAAAAAGTAATAACTTTATGATAATAGAAAGCAATTCAAATATTTTAGTATTTTTAGGATCAATTTTGTAACCTAGGGAAAAGAAGAAGCCAGGAGGAGGAATGGAAAGCACTGGCTTCTGGGGTAGGACTCTCAGCCTGACTGGAGAGGGCTGGGGTGGGGATTATTTGGAAAAAAAAAAAAAAAAAAAAGTCTTATGGTTATAATGATGAATGAAATGAGGGGATAAAAGTCAAAGTTATTTTTAGTAGAACATAAAAGACTTTGTATTCTGG